ATATTGGGGTTCCCTTATTTTGGGAAACTACCATATGTGTATGTATCTGTATGTGTATGTGTGTATGAGTATGCGTATGTATCTTTCTATTTATACGTGTACCTAGATATGTGTAGGCTTTGGGAGTTGGGGGTTCTGTGGTTGTAGCTTGGTATTTGTTTTTTCATGGGCTCTAGGGATAAACCGTCAGTCCACGGGATTGGGGGCTCCTTGTTAAGGATTCTATTGAGGAGCATTTTCAGAAACCCCCAAAACCTGAAGGGCTTCAGAAATCGAGGGTTCTTGAAAGGGTTTGTAGGGATGATCTGAAGTTGTGTAAGGGTTGTGCCGGGTGCAGGGTTGGAGGTTCATGGGTTAGGGTTTGGGGTTGTGGGGGTTTCAGGGATTCGTTTGCTGGCTCAGTGTAGGTTCAAGGCTCTGCATGGAGATTTAGCGTTTAGTCTCGGGTTCATTGTTGAATGTGTTGGATGTATGGGAGCCCAACAACCTCAGCCACCCTAAACCTAAACCCTAAACTTTGGGTACTGCCCCCACCCAGTAACAGTCTATATTAGGGGTCCTATTACGGGCTGTATATAACCATATTATAAGTATTATCCAACTGTTACTGAGGGGGGGGGCAGAACTGAAGCAGAACAGGCTGTATAACTGAGGCCATTCCAGGAACGGGGGGCAGGGATCCACGTGAGTACGAAGCCGGGATACCAGCTCTTAATCTCCTCTCCTAAGGTCATACCCCCCCCAAACCCCATAATCTACAATATTCCCAATTAATCATAGTAATCATAGTATAGTATACCACGATGGGAGTATTTAATATTCGGGGGGTGGGGGGAGTTTAGTTTTCGGGGATGGGGATTATTGTTCCTTGCCCTAAACCCTAAACCCTAAACCCTAATCCCTAAACCCTAAACCCTAAACCCTAAACCGTGACCAAAGAGGTTATTGACTTGGAGGTGCAGGGTCGGCACAGCCCAAATTTACTTGTATTTGTAGCCCAATGAGTTATGAGCCCTTAAGTCCCATTACATTGAGGGTTTAGGGTTTAGGGTTGAGCCCTTAAGTCCCATTACATTGTCCTAGTTGAGCTGTACGTGCCGGCTAGACTTCTGTTGCAACTGCGCACCCTGAACCTCCAAATAGCGGTTTTGGATAAAGGGTTCAAGTTTTTGGACACTGTGAGGACACCGTCCCCCATCATGCACCGGCAAGGAACCTGGACCCAGCCCGAACGAAAGCCGGAACCCTAAACCCCAAACCTCAAATCCCCTATAAGCCCTAACCCTGAAGTCCCTAAACCCTAAACCCTGAAGCCTGAACCCTAACGTCTCAACCCTTATGCCGGGAACCTTCGGCCTTGCGACTTAAGCAAAACGCACCGCGTATCTGACCCGCCCCCAGTTGAGTAGTATTTAATTTGGAGATACTATGGTACCCAATATGGAGTAAGGTTATATCCTCCTTTTGGGTACAGTATTTTATATAAGGAATATTATCTTACTACGTTTAACCGCCAAAAAAACACTACTCATTTAATCCACATCAAGAGTCATTCTGAGAACTCCGACGCAAGACCCCAAGCCCCTAAACCTCTTTCATTTTGGAAAAAGGCATTTACATACCCCCCTAGACATGCCCATACAGAGAAACGTTCTGTAGCCCCAAAGTAGTCCTTGCCAATACGTTTGAAAGCAGCCCAAGACGTTTAACCTTGAACCTTCAACCCTGAACCCTAAACCCTCAGCCTTAAACGCCAAATGCTAAACCATCCTAGACTCTAAGCCCTATAGTCCCCCTTCATCTACTTCAGGGGGACTATACCCTAAGCCCCAAACCCTAAGCCCTAAACCCTAAACCATAAGCCCTAAACCCTAAACCATAAGCCCTAAACCCTAAGCCCTAAACCCTAAACCCTAATTGGCTTTATTTGGGGAGGAGATCTGGCCGGAAGTGCGACCCGCTGTGTTGGAGGCTCACCGGGAAGTTATTCCCCCTTCATATGAGCTACAGCCTAAACTCCTTAAAAGGGGGTTATGTAGGGGATTATATAGGGTTTAGGAGTTAGGGTGTAGGATTTAGGGTCTAGGGTTCAGGGTCTAAACTCCTTAAGGGTGGTTATATGGGGTATTATATAGGGTTTAGGATTTAGGGTTTAGGATTTAGGGTTTAAGGGTTTAGGGTCTAGACTCCGCAAAAGGGGGCTATGTAGGGGATTGTATAGGGGATTACTATAGGGTAATTAAGGGGGATACTAGGAGTTTAGACAATGGCTCATATTAGTAATAGAAAGCCTTCCCAAAAGGGTTTTTGTGAGAGTCTCCCAAAACTAATTAGGGTAACATTTTGGGGTGATGTTCATGATTAAAGTAGTGGGGAGGGTTCATTACCCTAAACCCTAAACCTGGATTAACATTTGACGTCATGGAAATGGAAGGTGCCAACCGCCTGGGCTCCCACTGGGGTTACGAGGTTGAGGGTTTAGGGTTAAGGGTTGAGGGTTTAGGGTTGAGGGTGTAGGGTTGAGGGCTTCAGGTTTGGAGATTTAGGGGTTCGGGCTTAGGGTTCAGGGTCCCAGACTCCTGTGAGGATACAAAAGGAAGAGCATTGCCGTTAAGTGCTCTTTACTACTGTTGTGTACCCACCCAGCCCCAAGCTCTAAATCCTAAACCTTTGAAGGGGAGTCTGCTTTCTGGATCTTCCCAAAGGTCTACTATGAGGGGCGTCTTGGGTTCAGATGCTCAAGTTCAGTAGCCTTCACACCAAATCCTGAACTCCAAGCCCTGTACCGCAAACATGAAACCCAAAGCCTTGTGCCCCCACATCTCTTGGGGCAAGGGTAAGAAGGAGGTTTTTGTTGCCCCAGCGCCCAAAACAAGGACCCTCTGATTGCCCTGTATGACTCTTACAAGGCCATCATTCTAGGGGTTTCGGGGTGGCCCAACTCCAGTCCTTGTTGGTACATGCAATCCAAATACATGTTTTTTAAATTTAAGCCCAATTACTATGGACTTTGCACATTCCTTTCCGTCGGATTCTCCACCGCTAAGCCCCAAACCCTACACCGCCAAACCCTAAACTCCAAACCTTGAATCGCAAACCTGAAAGCTTCCTGACGAACCCCAAGCCCCCAACCCTAGACCCTAAATCCTAGACACTACAGATATCAATCCCCATACAACCCTAAACCCTAAACCCTAAAAACCACCGTGCAAGGCTCGCCGGGCGGCCATTCACGCCTTGGGAGCAGCAAGCGCCTGATGTTCCCGACAACTCGGAGGATCTACCTTCCCCATTCATTCAGTTTAAGGTCTAGGGTTCAGGGTTCAGGGTTCAGGGTTTAGGGTTTAGGGCGTAGGGCCTTCCCCATTTAAGATTCAGGGTTTCTGGTTTGGGGTTTGCGCATGGGGGTTTAGCGTTTAGAGTTAGGATAACATTTTCCCAGAGTAACATGAAACCACCTCTAGCCTCTTTTCAAACGCTAGTGGCCTAGAGTTCTGTTTGGGGCTCCATGGTAGTATGGGAGAGGGTCGAACGTCGAACATTGAAGTGAGGATTCTTCTACTTTCTAGATCCTCCCAGGGGTTTGGCGCATAGATGCAAGCCATTTACTTGTCAATATCTAGTCCCATTCTCAACAGCCAACCGAGATCATAATAAGTCCGGGGACTGTGTTTACGGAGGCCCCCACCATGTCAGATTTATAGTCCCCCTCAAGTAGATAGCATATCGTGTATGTGGGGATCTTACTGTAATATACCCAAAGCCATATTCTATCTACTTAAGGGAGACCTATAGCCCTAGCCCTTAAGGCCTTGCCTCAAACCCCCTTGATTACAAAGTACGCAGGTGATCCGAAGGATACCTGTGCTCTTTCAAGTACACTCCCGGAAACTAACATGGAAACCCAAAAAGGGCCCCATAAAGACTACAGTCCTTCTAAAAAGGGACTATGTGGGTTTCCATGTTAGTTTGGGAGAGTGTAGGCTCTGTGCTACTCGGGATTAAGCCTACAAGCCCTAAACCCTTGACTAATGAGAGCCATTTTAACCGTAGGTGATCCTAGCGCCATGGCCCCGTCCCCTGGACTCGCGGCGTACCTTCTGCGCCTGCTGCTTCTCTGCGCGGTCAGCTGTGTGCGCGGTGGGGCTGACCCCTCGCTGTGCCCTGGGATCTTGCCTTTGCCACCACGGCGGCGTGAGCGGCCACATCACACACTGCCTCCAGCTTGGAACCGCCGTCAGAGGCAATGTGCATCCCACCTCATTGGCCACTCCCGTGCCCTTCCTATTTGGAGCCCTCTTGCTGGCTTCGGGGTGCGTCCTGCCGTACGGATGCGCGGTCGCTGCCGCCAACTTTTCCAGGCCCAGCGCCGCTCCTGGCGCCGCCGGCGCTCCGCCGCCGCTGTGGGCTGTGTGGCGTGCGTGTTGGTGAGGCCCGACACCCAGGCCCGCCTCCTGCTGCCTCATCCCGCCCGCTGTCACCTGGCGCAGATGCCACGGCCCCTGCATCGGAGACGGCTGTCAGCAAGCAATAGCCACGACCAGGTATTCTGCCCCGTGCCAAGGCTGCTGCAAGGGGGACCCTGACCGCTCTAGCGGTTGGACTTCGCATCAAGGCCTCAGGCATCACATCGATGACCATTGCTCAGGGCTCTTTGCAGGAGCCATCCCTCGGCAGTACTTGGACGAGCATGCGTTGGACCTCTGTTCCGTGTGGGCACTACAATGGCTGCCATCCGCGGTGTCGCCCAGCGGCCCGTGCTGCTGCACCACGCCCTGCCCCCTGCACTGCCGCCGCCTCGCCTGAGCCGGGGCTGCCGTCGTTCTCCGCCATCATGGTGTCTGGTGTCCTCACTGTCCGACATGTGCCGCATGCCTTGGGCGCAGTGCCTTGCCCGAGCCGCGGCTAAGGCTGTGACCCGCAACACTCCTGCCGCCTGGCAGGAATTTCTCATGCTGCCAAAGGCTTCTTTCTGCCCCTGCTCGCGCCACCGTGCCCAGGCCGCACAGGCGACGCGCCGTTGCCTTCGCTGGCTTGAGGGTGAGCGCTGTGGCTTGGGAGGAACTCGCTACGCGCCGGCCTGGCCACACTGCCCTGACTGCTGCTGCACGCCACTCGCACTGCAAGCGCCTTGCTGCCGAGGGCGACCTTGCCCGAGCCTGCACTGCCCTCACTGCACCACCCGCCCTCGCCCCGAGCCCCGACACTCTAGTTAGTCTGCAAGCTAAGCACCCTCAGGCTCCCGACCTGTCTGCGCTGGGTTCGCCTCGCCCCGGGGCGGTGCCCGACTTTGAGATCGAGGCCGTTGCTCAGGCTGTCCAAGGCTTCAAGCGGGGTTCGGCTCCTGGCCCTTCTGGCCTCCGTGCCGACCACCTTCGTGAGGCTCTTCTCAGTGCGCACGCTGACGAGGTTGCCACCGACCTCACCGGGCCAAGAGTCGCGGGATTACTTCTGGCCTCTGCAAGTGAAGTGGGCGTGGGAGTGCCTTCAGGATGCGATGTGGCTGTGCACGCAACAAGGGCGTGGCTGCATCATAACTCTGGGCACGCGGACAAAATCCTTGTCAAGCTGGACTTTCGCAATGCGTTTAACAGCGTCGATCGCACTGCCCTTCTTCGAGCGGTTCGTGCAGACTCGCCTGAGTGCGCCTGCTGGGCCGATTGGTGCTACGGCTGCAGCTCTCGCTTGCTGTTTGGGGACTCTGTCATTCAGTCCACGTGTGGCGTGCAACAAGGGGACCCATTGAGGCCCTTGTTTTTCGCGCTAGTGTTGCAACCTGCCCTTGCCGCTGCCGAGGGACCGCTCGACCTCCGCTATGCCTTCCTCGATGACGTTGTCCTTGCCGGCAGTAGCGTGCCTGTGTGTCGCGCGCTTGACCGCCTCACTGCTGAGGCTGCACGTGTTGGTCTGGTCCTGGAACCCACCAAGTCTGAAGTGGTCGTGCCAAACTCCGGGATCTGCCCCCTGGCTTCGTGCGGCGTGGCGGCGAGTTTGAGCTGTTGGGCGCCGCTTTTGGCGGGCCCGCCTACTGCAACCATGGAGTTGCCCGACGCGCAGACAGCCCTGCTGCTCCTGCGTTACTGTGCCTCCCATGTCAAGTTGGTGCATGCCGCGCGCGTCACCCCGCCTCCCCTGCATGAGCCTGCCCTGCTTGAGTTCGATGAGCGTGTGCGCTCCTGCCTGGAGCACATCGGGGCTTTAACCCTCACGCAACAAGCGTGGCGACAAGCCTGCCTCAAAGTTCGGCTTGGCGGGCTCGGGCTGCGCAGCGCATCCCGTCATGCCCCAGCGGCCTACATCGCTTATGTGTCTGCGTGCGCTGCCGCCTGCTCGCAACTCGACCCCAACTTCCGGCTTGACCTCTCGCAGCCTGTGGCCACCTACAACGCAGCGGTTGCTGCTGGCGACCGTGTCCCGCCTGCCCCACAACACGTCCGCCAACAACAGTTGTCTGCTGCGCTGGACGCTGCTGAACTCGCCGCCATCCAGGTCAGCTTCTCCGTCTACGTCTGCGTCTCCCCGTTGCTTCCTCCGAGGGCCATTGCCCCCTCTGCGATGGGATCGCTGACAGGTTTGGAGACCACGCTCGATGTTGCACTTGCGGGGGCGACAGGCAAGCGGCGCAATCGTTTGCGCGCTGTCCTCGCTGAACGAGCCGCGGCAGCGGGCTTGTCGCCTGAGGTAGAGAAACCCGGCCTCCTCCCTGGCCGCCCCGCGGAACATGGCAGTTGTGAAGCAGGGAGTGCTGCTGGCCAGCAACGTGTGTCTCCCAGGCTGGGGCTTGCACGGGCCCGCAGCCCTCGACCTCGCAGTGACTAGCGGGATGCGCGGGGCCATCGTGTCCGCTTCTGCGTCTGATGGGTCCCGCCCCTGCCTTGCCTATGAAGACCGCAAACGAGCCCACCTTCACACTGCTGCACAGTGCGCTGACGTTGGTCTGCAGTTCTTGCCCTTGGTCGCAGAAGCGTGTGGGGGTGGATGGGGCCCTGTTGCGGTCAAGACCTGGCATTGCTGGCCGCACGGGTGAAACGCCGGGCGCCGTGGTCGAGCAGCTCCACCAAGTACTCAGTGTCACTCTGAAGGGGAGGCTGCCCCGCGCCTGTTCCTTGACTAGCCCCCCGCCAGCGGCTGAGTGTCTGTAGGGTTTAGGCTTCTAGGGTTTAGTCTCCTAGGGTTTGGTCCTTCTTCGCCTCTTTTCCTCGCAGTTTAGGCTTCTGTGGTTTAGGCCCTCCTCGCCTGTCCCTGCCTGCCAACCTCGTGTCGGGGAGTCCAACGGGTAGGGGTCTTTAGGGGTCTGGCGTCTGCCTGCAGGGCTTAGGGCTGGTTCACGCATAGCTCCCTCCTGTGTTGCTTGCGCCCTTCGTTCGCGCCCTCCGCCGTGGCCACGTGGGTGTACAGTGTGCGTGTTTTCCTTCGTAGAAGGGTTTTTCCTTTTCTCCCGAACCGCGCCAAGAGAGCGCGTTATTTGGAGAGCCTACAATCAATGGCGGTCTTAAGCTAGCCAATTTCAGTGAGCAAAAGGCCGCTGCCGCTTTCGTGCACGGTGTATAGAGGCCAAACCCTAAACCATGAATTTTATAGAAATGGCTTCAACCCTAGACCCCAAAGGTGTAAGGACCAAGCCCAAAACCCTGAATTGTATAGAAATACCGATAGACAGTATGTAACTTGGATCATCCCCGCCCTAAACTCATGGCATAGGCCGCCCGCCTTCGATGGTGGGCGGCGCTTATGCCCTTCGACATCGATGGCGCAGGTCGGTCCAGCCTGCCTTCCCACAGCCAGGAGGCCAGGTACCTGGAGGAGTGCTCTCGGGACCAGTACTGGTCCACCCTAAACCTAGTGGTCGAAGCTTTGGACGTGGCTGGCTGATTTTTTTCAGGTTGGATCCTGGCCAAAAAAACAAAAGAACGGGACCGCCGCAGGCGGGCCTCCCACGAGCCCCGTAGGGGCAGGGGCTGGGAGGGGCTTTGCAGGAATCTTTCGGGCCTTTGTGGGCCTCCCAGCACCCTCCACGCCTCCCAAGCGCCTCAGAGGCCTCCCAGGCCCTTCCCAAAAACATAAAGCAGAAACCTACCAAAAGACCTCCCACACGCACCTTGCAGGGGCCTGGATGTCCCAAAGGCCTCCCACGAATTTCCCTTTCAGCTTTACTCATCCGCAACAGAAGGTTGCTAGGCCTCCTCCAAACCTCTTTCAGGCTCTCAGGACCTTCAGCGTACACAAATGAAAATGTGTTATTGTTGACCAAGATGGACCTAACTGAGTTTAGGTCCTAAACCCTAAAAGGTATAGGTTTGGGTGGTTTGC